CTACTGTTGTCTGTACAAACTCACCTTCAAACTATGAAATTGCTGCTGACTCAGTCTTCTGCTTGGCAAGTCTAACCCAAGGATGCAGGCTCAAAGTTAACCAGGAGTGTGCAGAATGTGTACCATCTCCCCACCTAGGATTTATGCCCCAACACCAGTCTTGGGAGGCAATGAGGGGAGAAAAAACAGAGGGGAAAAAAAAAAAAAGAAAAAAAGAAATAGTCTAGAATTTATTGTGCAAATAATTTGGTTTTCAAAAGCCTTGCCCCAGGCTGTAATGCCAAAGCACTGTGACAATATCATGAGACAGACCTTGGGAGGCTGCTTTATGTCAGCTCTGCCCCCTGTCCTGCACCACTTTTCAAAACATTTTTAAGGAGCCAAACTTCTTGGCTCTCACTGCTGTCTCGTACAAGGAGTGAGCCAGACATTTCACCACTGCTAAGCGCAATGTTGCTTGAGGATGGCAACATTAAAAGAACAAACCAAAATCACAAACAAAACCAAAAAAACTCCATTGAATGCCCCCCCCACACACCTTCATGCTTCAATACCAAGGTTTGGAGAAGCTTTGGCAGGAAAGCAGAGATTAAAAAAATAATCCTCTGTGTGGGAGCAGAACCTTTCAAATTTACCAAGTATTTCATAGAGCTAGACAGATTCCATGTAGAGAAGTAATACAAATTAATTAAATAAATGAGATATTTTACCATTTACTTGGCCTGTTTAACCAGTAGGGGAGGTATCTTAAACATCAGGCTCGAGTCTTTCAGAGCAGATCTCACAGTACAACAAAAGCAAGTGAAGGAACCAAAAGACATAGTGTTATGACCGGTTTTTGGTTTGTTTTGTTTTTAAAGACTGTCCCCTGTGGTTGCAAGCTCCCAAGAATCAAATTCTATTCAAATTCAAAAGCAGGAGGAATCCTCTATAGCCATGACACTTGCATGAAGTTTCAGTCAGTTCAGAATATTGCCTTTACAGCTGCAGTATCTTCAATTTCTCAGGAAAAAAATGTGCATAATCGTCAAAATAGCCACCCACCACTAATGAAAAGGTTTGGGCAGAATGCTGAATTGTGAAGGCAAAAATGACATGAAAGTTCTACTGAAGGTGTAACTAAAACATTTGCAGCTTTCATGAATAATTTCAGAATGTATATAGTCCAAAGCTTCCTGTTCATGTACTAAAATTTAACCCATTTCTTAACATCTCTGATTTAACCAGTCTGAGTAAGAGGTTAAAATGTGCAAGAGTAAAGTGATTCCTGCCTCTCCCTAAGGCAGTCATTAAGTTCAGGATCAGTTAGCAACTGTGATGTAAATTTTTATCTAGAAAAACAGGTAAATAAGGTCACTGCAAAATTTTGTGAAACCACAGTATCAAAAGTGACAGAGCAGCTGTTCACTCAGACAAAAAATATGCCAGAAAATACCTATGTAGAGGTAATGTCTCTTCTTCCTGCAGTAGATAATACAAAGAAAATTCATTTTCTACACAGAATATAGGCCAGCAGAACTGAATTTCAAAATGAAGAATACTTCGTCCTCTATCAACACCTTACCCATGAAAAACTATCAGACACACACTGACCTGGCATTCTGACCTTCAAAGCATCAGTGTCAACTCTATTTTTAAATTAATTGCTGGGAAAAGGCATGAGTCACAACCCTGCTTGGATCCCCCTCCACTGGACACTCACCAAGGGCTCTGTTTATTCTGAAGTTTCCCAAGTCAGAACAGGATGTAGCATTACTACCTCAGTGTGGAGAACAAGGACCTCACAGTTCAGTTCCCTAAGCAACCCAGGAATACTGCTCTCTGGATCCATCTTTATCTTCCCAATTTGGCAAAGATTTTTGTTGCAAACATCAGGAAGCTCTGGAATACTCCAAAGTGCATCCCTCTAACAGAAAGGGATCCCACTTGCTCAGCTGTGTGCTAACTTACAGGCACCTTGTTTATGATCAGGTTGCAGCTATTACTCCCCATCTGTTGGTCCAATTCCCTCACGCTGAAGGTCAACCAAATCGAAAGAGAAGCCTCCCTGAAGCACAGGTGAGAAATACAGGCTCTGCAGTTAAAACTAAGTCAGGTGCACTCAATATAGGTGGTATTTGAGGGGTCCTACAGCCAACCAGCTGGAGAAACTCAGTGCTCAAACACCTGGAAAATGGGAAATGTGCACGTGATAAAGAACACATCCCACGAATGCTGATGGAGGAGGTCAGCATACTGTGTCCTACACTCTGTGCACTGCCCAAATCCAAAGTTTAGGAGCAGCCAAACATCCCAGTGCTAGCCAAATGGGCTGCTCACAACAGTGGACAAGTTAACAAAGAAGTGGAAACCAGAATCTATGGTGATGTATCCAGTCAAATTTTGATTTCCCATTGTCATCTACTTCATTCCCTCTGAAGCATGAGATAGTTCCATACTTCACTGTGGACACCGTGGGTCTCAGAGCCAGCCAGGCCCATGCTGCTGACTCACCTACGGAAATCCTTAGTGATTTGCTTGGCTCCAGGCTCTTCATTACAAAGAAGCCTTTTAAGACATCAGAAATAAATCATCTGCCTGGTTGCCTTTAATGAAAGCACTGTTACACAGGAAAAAGAGGGAGGGAGTATGAAACAATATCCATGTGGGACAGCGAAACCAAAAGAGAGGGATGTCTGAAGAACAGAATGAAAGACTTGAGAATTAAGTCAAGAAGAGAAACAATAAAGCAGTATGGAAATGGAGCAGGAAGGTATAAACAGGAAAGTTACAAATGGAATGAAAAGCTGAAGTGACTGTTTTTTGTGAAAGAGCAAACAGCTCATTAGGACAAAGAGTTAGTAACATATTCCCATGTACCAACTTCCCATTCAACAATCACGAGTTATTTCAGTGCATTACAGCTGTACAACCGTAAGAAATCATTTCCACATACTGTTGAGGAACTTCAAAAGCAACTAACAAGTCTGAAATCAATCTCTCTTCTCTTAAAAGTCTCCCAGAGCAAGGCGTTGTAACAACTGCCCCAAGTATTCCCTATTAACAATCGAGAGGAGCCCAGGCTGAGCTGCTCAGGGCTATGATTCATTCATGGCACTCTGCCAAAAAAATAAATACGTTCAAGACCAATGGCCCCAAGGGGAAAGGTAGGCCACTTCTTAAAAGGCACAGAGATAAATGATTTACAGAACAGAATACAGTTGAAGATTTCAGCCTATATGGATGACGAGGAAGGACTTAAGATTAAGTCTCACAAAGATTTAGTGCACAGACTTAGATACTGGCAATGTATCAACAGATGGAGTGAACTAGGAACTATTAAACTGGGATTTGCAAAACTCTCTCCAAAGAGCAAGAAGTGACCCATTATAGTGCTGTACACAAAGGAAGTTCATAAAGCAAAATCAAGATATGCAGGGGGTATCCAGCAATGTAAGACAAACATGACCAGCTCAGGTTACAGGCAAACTTCAGTAAAGTAACACCTGTAGAGGGGCAGAGCAATCCATGGCAGGACAAACAGTGTAAGGGTTGGGAGGGCCTGATACCACACAGCATCTGCTGCACATAAAAATGGTTAATTAGCTGCCAGACAGCAAGCAGTACGTTATCTTTTTTTTTTTCTAGGAGAACCTTATTTCTTGAATAAATGCCCTTGCTCAGCTAGCAAGGTGCAGGATGAAGACTGCTGTTTCACTGCAGGAATGAGGCCAACTCATTCTCACATCACAGACTTGTTTTTGCCTCCTAATGTTTTGAAGCACCATTTCAGGGGCAAGCAGCTTCTGAAACACCAAACCCACTCTTAAATGTGTCTTACTTTAATATTCAGGACATTATCTTTGTATTACTAAGGGTTTTTAAAGAAAGCTGCTCTTTCAAATGCTTCCCTAGAGTTACAACTGCATTTCATCATTAAAAAATTCCAGATTTAACTGCTGCTTATCCCCAAACTCACCAATAGTGAGAAACTGCAGAGAAGGAGAAACACTGAGCCTCTCAGGATACAAGATATCCCCACAAGATACTCTATTTAAAGTTCTGGTGCACACATATCTCCAAGGCATTCTCTCTCAACAGAAGGGAAAACAGCCACAACTTCAAGGTAAATAAAAATCACCAGAGTGAATGAGCTGTTAAAATCCAGCCTTTACTTATGTGGCAGCCGTATTCCAGGAGGGGGTCAGCCATGTCCAGCTGTACTGTACAACTCTCTACATCAAGGATTCGTACAATTTTTTTTACTCCTGTAGATTCAAGGCCAAGCTATATGTTGCCATTATGTCAAAAAGGAATTACATCCCTATTCAAAAACAGTGCTAACCTATGCATTTTAAGTCAAGCATGTGATTAAATGCTCTGCTAATAGGAATTCTCAACCAGATGTTGAGCAATCTTATGACACATGACCCCTCTCAACCAGTGCTTGAAGCAGTTACAATTTATGGTTTCCTATCCTGTGGTGCTGTTATTTAACCAGGTTAAAAAGCCCCAGTCTCACCTTTTTGTGTTAAGGAAACAAAAGAAAAGAGTGCACTGGTTCGTCAGGATGGTTTTGTTCAATATTACTCCCCAGAATGCCTCATGATGTTTAAAACTTCACTACATTCCACTATTACAGGAGGAAGGAATGAGCTTATTAAAATCTAAATGTCTTAGTTTTGCCACTGCCTCTTTTTTTCTTAATTTGGTCATATTGCTTATTCTGTGGAAAACTTTTAGCTCCATCTGTGCACCACAGATGTCCTTTTGTTTTCTGTCAGCCTGTAGACTTCTATGCAATGCCTAGTAAAGCCTGCATCCTTGAGGGAATTATGGGAATCAGAAATGCAATAGTTATATTTTCATTTATGGACACAAAGAGAAAATAAATGAGGCAAAATCTGCAATAACATTTTAGTTGTTAGCCTTAATTATCTGGTAATGTATTCAGTATATGGAATAGATTTCTAACAGTCCAGTGTGCAGCAACTGGCACTTCTTAAAAACACAAAACCAACTCCATTTTTCTGCTTACAGACTTTATTTTCCAAAAGTTGACTAGAGGAACAGAATTCACACAGAAAAATACAGGTTCACTAGGAATGATCTCTCTGAATTTGTCGAGGACAAATCCTCACCAGTGGTTGGCGTCCTCTTCTTTGGAAGGAGCGAAGGCTCTCTTAGACCCCTTCCCACACAGCCTTCAAAGAAAAAGAACAAAACTACAAAAGATAAATACGATAAATAGTTTTGCTAACTACTTATGCAGAGGGATATGTTTGAAATTTTCCCGTTTCCTACAAGGATAATTTATGCGCTGACAATTTCAGTTTTCCAATTTTTTTGTATCCTAAGACTTTCACAGATGAGGACTTTCCTCCCTCCTTCCCTCCCCAGATACTACCCTGGACCCTACTAAAAATTTTCTAACACCAGATAAAAAATCAGTGTTCTGTCTATGCTGCTGCACATGTGCCCAAGTGTTCCCCTACGGAGCATTTCATTTGGGACCAACTAATCAAAGCTGTCACCTTGTTAGATGACTAAATCAGGCAGTTCTCACTTTTTACCTGGTAACTATTTCATTCAGAAGGCCATGGCTCCATCCTGAATCTTTTCTCAGGCTGTTCATTTGTCCAAAACCTTTGTATCTGTCGGGGTCTGTTTCTAGCACTGGGATCAGTGTTTTCTGTTCTTAAGAGCTTCCCACCGAGCACACCTAAGCAAGTCAACATCTGATTTCAGATTTCTTTTACTAGAGCTTATGCTGAAATGTTAAAAATGGTATGGCTACTGTAAGCCCTCACTTAATTAACTCGTATGAGGTTAATTTTAAGGTGGATAAGGGTGTATTATGTATAAAAGACTTCTAGATTATCTACAAAGGAACCTCTTCGTGCAAACAAAAAAATCCAGCCAAAACCCAAGTTAAGTTTATTTAAGCAGTGGCTTAAAGCCCCTGGTTACATTTCTTATATGGTAAACTTTTCAAATTGGGGAATTTGGCCTCTTCCATTAGTAAGGGGGGACAGGGAATGCTAATACCACACATACAAACATTCTTCATCATGACCCATAAAAAGGGTCATGAGCCTTCTAATATCAGCAAAGGGACATTTGAGGGGATTTGGCTCACACATTCTGGATCTATCACCAATGGATAATGCAAAGTTTTAGGAATCTACCTATGGCCTTAGAAATTTTCACAGTCATTTCTTTACTATTTCACAGGAATAATATTTTTCAAGATAATAATTTTAAAAAGGGGACACATTTATTTCCTGACTCTGGTTTAAAATTTCAAACTCAAATATTTAAAAATAATCAATATTTTAAAGTTGTCCTATGATTAAAGTAAGCCTGCATGAGTCATACTACATACAATAATATATTTTCTGTTGTCTTTCTTAAATTCATGCTTTGAACTGCTCCCTGGAAACAATTAGCAGATAACTTCATTCCAATAATTTAAAGTGAGATCACTAAATTGAATGTAGCTTGAGACAACCCTACTGATCAGATAATTTACAAGAAAAAAAACACATGCTAATCAGGAAAGATACATCTTATTTCCATTTTTTACCATTACATTATTTTTATCACTGACATTTTCACAAACAAAATTAAATCTTGTCTCAATTTATTTCTAATAAGATAAACTTCCCAAAGTAGGAAACCCACCTGAGTGTGAAAAATATTCTGTTTACAAAAGATCCTCCAAATTTATTGCACCACACATGAAAACTGCCAGAAATGTCCAATCTTTAATGGCATGATTGAACACGTTATGTAAAACTCCAATTTTCTTTAGTTTAGCTAATTTTTAAAGGGAAAACAAGTTTCACCTTTGTGGACAGTATTTTCAGGGGAAAAAAAATAAAATCAAAGAATCAAAAAATATGTGCTTTTGTTCATAATATTCCCAACTTCAAAGTGCTTTGATAGAATCTTTTGCCAAACAACACATATTTCATAAGTCTGCACAAGTAGGTCCATGGAATTATGATTTTCCCTCCAACTCTGGCTCTTCTGACAAGACTGAGCCATGAGTTGGGCAGTTTTCATCTCAGGCTCATAAAAGGATTTTTATGAAAGGACTGAAACCTGACACCTGACAAGCTGCTCATTTCTCTTTCCCACACTGAAAGTCACCGTGGAAGTTTTTTGGATTCAGAATGTCACACGTGAGAAGAAATGTCCTTTCCATAAGGTCTGCCCTGCAGAAGCATCCAGTGAGGATCCTCAGAAGAATTCTAAGGATGAACTTGTCAATGCAGAAATGTGAAAGGACAGTTTCTTATCTACACAAAATTCAGTGGGCTCTCCAGTTCCATAAGTCCCTGAAAGAACTTGATTATTTTGAAAGAGCCTGAGGGTATTTTGGAAAATAAAGCTAGCAATACATAGAAAATGAGTGGCTTTGGGTTTTCATTCATATGTACAATCAATTCTTTTTACTAGGGGTTTCTGAAAATCCAAGCTCTAGTATACAAGAAAATACAGTTCAGTATTTACAGAGTAGAATTCCTTTGCCCTATTACCAGCAAACCTTCTCCCATTAAAAAGTTCCTATTTCATTCATAAAATTGGGCATGTAAGTCATTAGAATGGACTTCTTAAATGCGTTGTAATCTTCTCAAGTATGCAAAGTGGCATCTGCAAAATATTTAGAGAAAAAGTACCATTTATTTACCCATACATACTACGTCAAGACTCAAGATGTCTTCCTTAACCATCCCTTTGTCATTTTATATAATTTCTTCATACTGTAAGTTACAGATTTCTTTGCCCCTAAAAAAAAAAGGACAAAAAAAAAAGACAAAATGAAAAATATAAACATTTAGGAAGGCTGACTCAGATAATAGTTTTCACTACACCAAGTGAAGTATTTCCATGGAGGAATGACAACCTAATCCACCAGGCAGATATGCAAATAGCCTTCATAACATAGTAGATAATGACACAAAAAAAAACTTCAATAGTATCAAAGCATGTACAATAAACAGGTTCATTCTGAAGGCCTGACAATGCTGTATACAAGCACATTGTACAGACAATAACTGAGGGATAGCAAATGTAGAGATTCCTGCTGAAACAATTAACTGGTGCAGAGGGAAACTTCTCCTTCACATCACTGTTTCTAAATGCTACATACAGGAAGGCTTTTAACGCACCTGTGTGTGCTGCAGATCCTCACCAAACTAATACACTGTGCTTTTTCAAGCCCTTTCTCATCTACTGCAAGGTATGTCCAGCTGAGTAGGATTCCACTCTGGCTGGTAATGGACACCAGCAACCTGCCAGATTCCACTGTGCAGCAGGACACCTAAGCAGGACTGTTTGGAGGATTCCAGGCTGCCGTTAGCCATGCAGGTTACTTAGCTGGCCATGCCTGTGAGAAGAATCTAGTTGTCAAAGCAGTTTGGCTCTTGAGACAGGAGCCCAATTCCCAGATTCTGGAGATTAGATGAAGAACCTCAAGCTATGCCCAAAGCTATGCAGCCAAAATTTTACTGAAGGGATAAAGGGGAAGGAGTGAGAGGGCTGAACCAGGACAAAAGAACATCCTGCTCAAGCACAACAAGCAAAGTCCACGTGACTGGTAGATAACAAGCTCTACACTTCCACCCCCTCCTGGGCCAATTCCTGGTGCCAAGCAGATGTTAGACAGCTGTGCTTAGTGCCATACACTGGGCACCTGCCTGCCTTGTTGGAGACCAATTCTACAGATAGAACTGAGAAGCATCACGCTGATGCCCACCTCAACTATGTGTTTAATCAAACCCTGCAGACCATCAGCAGCCCAGGCACTGCTATGCAAAGGCTCTTGAATTAAAAGTGAAAACAGAGATCTGGGTTTGTCATAGGAACTATGTTGCTGACTGTTAAGGTGCAAATCTGTTCTGATTTCAACAAGTTGTAAAGTACACTGTAACTTCCTTGAATATTTTGTTATTGCCTCATGCCAACTAGGTAGAAGGGCAGGTACAATTTCATAACTGACAGAATGGTGCATCTGCCAGAGAATAAAACTGCTCAATCTGTGTGCTTAGGAGATGATACCGAAACGATGGGTCTGAAACACCAGGCAAGGCACATACCCAGCTGAACTGAAAGCAGCAAAAATAATGAGATGATGACAAGCAGCTATACTTTGGAGACACTGCCAATATCAGAGGTGTACCATGGACCTCAATGTGTCACGGGGATGTTGTCTGGACCAATTTTGCTTTAGAATAACCTGCTGTCACTTGGTTATAACAAACCTCATATGAAGCCAGAGTAGCTGCCATACTCTAGCACTCTCCTGCCCACAAGTAGTGAACTCTGGTAAATACCACACCATCACACTGGGCCTACAGTGAAGGCAGGAATGTCTCAGTTTTCATAAAGACAGAGCAGCAGTCGTTGCCTCCAAGCATTTAGGAGTTTTAGATAAGAAGGGACCAAGGATGACTCCCACACAATTTGTGAAGTGCACCCTTAAACACTTAAATTCTACCAGCCATCTCTTACAGACCGAGAATAAACAAAAGACGTAGCCTTTTGCTGAGTTTAGTCATCTAGTATTTGTAAACTTAAAACCTGTTACTTTTGGCATTTCAGTGGGGTCCTGAGATCCTAGCAAGTGGAGCTACTTGTTTTTCCATCTTTCAGCTTTTTTTGTTTAAAATACTCCCCAAAACAAACAAACAAAAAAACCCAACATAAGACACAGTGACTTTTCAGCTTACAGCACAGTTCAATCACACCCTTACAAATTCAAAACTGAAAAGGCAAGCTTTTAATGCTGCACAAGAAGCTTTCATTTTGACACTTAAATGCAGAGATCGAAAGTATGGTACGTTATACTTACTACAGTCTTTCTTATGTTTATCTAATTGAACACCTCACAAGACTGACTAAAAATACACAGAAGCAATTTAGCTGTAAGGCACACAGTATGACAGACCAGAGTGCAAGGAAAGATGTTCTGGAACAAGTACCACGGGTTTAGCCATCTACTGCCCTGGTCTTTTCTTGGGGAGAGGGAGGAGAGGAGGGTATGATCATTTTTAATTTGAAAAAGACCTTAGAAAGCAATCAAATGAAGATAAAATATTTCAAGTGAAAAGATACATTTGGTATTGACAGTCTAGAGTAGCAAGAAGTCAAACGAGTATGCAGTAACAAGGAAAGGTTTCTGAGGGTAAAAATCCTATGATAAATACGCTGTATAGAATCAGTTTTACACTTCTGGTGCCTCTAACTGCAATTTAAATAAGCTCAGCTTTATCTTTCATAAGAAATAATCCATACCTGTATTTTGAACTTACAAACCCGCTGTATCCTGTATGCTCTAACTTTTCTACAATTAATAGGTTTTTGTAAAAGCAAGCACACTACTGAAGTCATGACAGGCTCCTCAAATAATAAGTGAATAATCATGTAAATTCCAAGGCGACTCACATATCCACATTGGAATTGCACACAGGGTAAGAATTCCAGTTGCAGAACAAGGCCAGGCTGAGCTCGGGCATAGCACATAAATGAAAGAAGTGATTCCAATCTCCAAAGTTAAAACTGTGTGTATGGCTTTGAAAATGACTGTCCAGTCTCCCAGGTACTGTACATGCAGGATCCAGCCCCTCCAATACGGGAATTGCTCTGACAGGATGGATGCTGTTGTGCCATTACAATGAAGTCAGAGTACTTGTGGAAGCGCAGGATAACGTGGCAGACCAACAGCAACGCAGCTGATTCAGCCCTGCAGGACTGGAATTAACTGTGCTGGCACTGCAGCCTGCAAGTCAGCTTGTTCTACCAGCCTGCCAACTCACCCTGCCTCCTGAAGCAGCTCAACAGAACAGAGATTTTTCTCTTTCCTATTTTCCCCCTGCAGGGAGCACTCCACTGAACTCCACCCACCAGAGGCTTATGGAATGAGATGCTTACATTTCTGCCCCACCACATCAGCCTGCAAAGGAAAATGCAGGTTTATACATACAGCTGGTTTCTTAAAGCAGCCCTCAGGGTGATGAGTCACATCTGTAGTAAAAGTTAATGGTTGTAATTATGGCTCAGTCTCAGAATCTGAAGCAGTTGACCCACATAAAAATGTCTTTCTTACTTCAGCTATGAATCTATGACTTGGTGGTTCCACCTCCCCTTCAAATTTTTCCACTATAGGATACAGAACAAAGGCCTAATGCACATGGGACCGAGACCACAGCATCTCAGTGTAAACACAAGTTGTATCTGGTTTTACTTAACAATCTGCATTGAGTTTTTTGGAAGTGTTAGTGTTGTAAGACAGCAATTTGGCTGAAGTCCCCCAAAGTTTTCTGGTAGATATGCCTGGATGCAGTATTCCTTTTAAAAAGAAAGACTGATGTATGTACTGCTGAAGAGCTGTCATGTGGAGGCAAATAGTTACATACTGATAGTGTGTCATGCACAGACATATGCAAACTTTGTACACATATTCCCAGTGAAGTTGGTGGCAATGCAGTATCTGCTCAGGCAGCTGATGAGGACATCAGTTATCTGAACTCTACAGAGTATTTTACATATAAAGCTGATCCTTTAAGTTTAAAAGAATCCTTGAATACACAAGGATTAGTATACTAATATCTCAATTCTAAGAAAACAAATGTTATTCAGAGCATTTGTGTTAACTTAACAGTATCTTGAACAAATGCTTCAATTGATGATTTAATTCATAGTATTGTATTTATAGAAAAATTTTCAAGGCTTGCTGCATTCCTCGAGTGAAATATAAAGAAGAAATCCAAGCTAAATAAGTATCAACATCTCCTTCAGAGGAGTTAAATATAAGAGCTGCAGAGTTAGTTCCCAAAGACCATGCAAACTCTAGCTACATGGGAAAACAAATTAAACCATGGTGCCATCTCTAATGAGAAACAGAGAGGCAACCTCACCACAGACTCGAAGAAATGCACAGGCACATTTTCAAAAACTAAACAGGGCATTTAACAACAAACAAAAACACAGAGCTAGAGCTCAACTTCAAAACCACATTGGCAGAGAAAGATGAAAAAAGTTCTCTTAAATGGGTTGAAATTCTTTATTTTGCTTGTGCTCCTTGCCAATAATGTTAATACCCAGCATGCCACCTCAGCACAACGATTGCTGATTTAACATTTAGCATTCAATTTAGAAATATGCTGTACATTTGACAGCCATGCTATGGACCAGAGTAGGCATTTCACTTTTTTTGGTTGTTAAAGTAAAACAATCAGCTAAGGAAAAGATATTGTGTCCTCCCTTACATTCCAAAAAGAACGATGGTCAGGTAGTGAAAACTAATTCTTCCTCAAACAAACTATTTATACAGTTACTAGAAACAGCAAAAAAAAAAAAAGTCAGAGCTTATTTAATGAAGCCACAGATTTCATGAACCTCTTTAATAATTCTCTTATTTTAAGCTACTATTCTTGACCTAAGCATTGCAGAAGGTCAGAGCCATATACTTTTCCTAAAGTCTCTACTAGAAAGCGTGAAAATAGGTCTTAGGGGAACAGAATATTAGACAAGATTTGGACAAAGAATGAAGAAATATGGCATCCTTAGGGATTGAATTTAAAGCTCCACACTTCCCTGTAAGACACATTCCTTCCATGAGTCAAGCAACTATTCCAATGCAGGAGCCACCCTGTGTTGTGCACATTCTGCGTCTCCAGGAACGTGGAGAGCCCCAAGGACTGGCACAGCCACGGCAGCAGCAGTACTGCTGCCCCTAGGAATGCATTTTTAAACTAAGAAACTGTACTTGAGAGAAAATCTTCATAAGAAGATACAGCAAGATTTAACATAATCATAAGTGTTTGGAGAGAATTATTTAAAAAAAAAAAAAAAAGGCAACAAAAAGAAACCCCACAAGCAAAAAGCTTTTACTAACTAACTCCTAAACCCATGGACACCCATTCCTCCTCAATTCCAGGGAAAATCATTTAAGATCATACAAATCTCACATCTGAAAAATCCATCAATCCTGAATTCTGTTGCAAATGGTTTTGGCCAGATTCTGGCAGAAGACTGTAAATATGTTTAAAAAAAAGGAACTAAATTATGCTAAAAGTAAGAAAAATCAACTCCCCTAGGGCCTCCTTGCTCAAATTTGGCTCGTGCTTGAGGCAAAGGATCCAAATTGCTTTGCTTTACCTGAATCAAATCACAAAAATATGTTTTCAACACTAAAACCACCAGCAGAAAATACATGTTTTTAAATATGAGTGTTATTCTATGTTAACTGGCTGGTTAGGAGACAACTCGAGTTTGTTTTAAAGGGGAAAAAAAGCCACTGTATATAAAGCAAAAAGCAGTTAAAGGAAAATAAAGGCATTTCCCAAATAACTAGTTTCAAGTGCACAAGCAGAAAACATGGTAAGAATCACAAGTCCTACTAGAAGATGCATTAGGACCCCACAAAAGTCCCAGTACCAACACAGGCTGTGATTTACTGCATGACATGCAAAAGGAGCTAATAACTCCCAGAGGGGATTTTCTGTCCATCAGAACAGACAGAAGGAGAGCATAAATAACCTAGAAAGCTCAGCTGTCTCTATCCCTGCTCTTTAAGTTACACACAAACAGCTTTGCCCTACTGGGCAGTCAGGATAACTTTCCCAAGCACTGGATTCAATAGGATAACACTGTCTTTGACCCCTCCCCTACAATTATTTCACAAAAAAAATCTACGCTCCATGGATTTAGGAACAGATAGGATGCAAGTTGACATCTCTAAAAAAGGCATGTTATAATACCAGAATTCTTGACCACTAGCAGGTAATTTTGACAACAAACCGTAGAAGAAAAATGTACCTATTTGGTTGGAAACCTTACATTAGAAGCTAACATCTGCCATGCGCTTAATTGATATATAACAAAATTGCTTTACTTAGATGGAGTTCTGTCTCCTCCAGCTACTAAAAGTTAGGCAATAGTTTTGTCAGACTTCTTCCATTTAATAGAACTAAACTATTAACAGACACATATAAAAAGTAAAAGTGTTCCTGCTTATTTTACTCAGCAGACCTGTAATGGTCCTGAACACTGAAAGCTGTGTTTCTTTGCTAGGGGTAGGAGGTGTAACATGGAGTCACCAACACCAGTGGAGGGGAACAGCCTCTGTAGAAGTCTGGATAAGGATTGCTCAGTAGGAACCTCTATAGCTGCTTTTAAAACCAGTACTGGCATCATTTGTATATAATTGCTTTTGTGGAAGAACTAGGAATAGGTATGAATGAATTCAGAAAATTATTTAAGCAACTTCAAGAAAGCATGAAGCCTTTTTAATGCAGAAAGTGCAGAACTAGTGCATATCAGCCAGATCTGGCCTGCATAGAAAATTAAACTGAACTCAGAAGTTGGTTTTTTCCTTACTTTTGGGTTGTTGGGGGGTTTGTTTATTTGTTTACAACTTGCACAGACTCCAGTTCCTTTTAGCATTTTACAATTTTGCAACAGTTACAGTAAATCTTCTGCTTTAAATATTACTTTTATCTTCCAGGGGCTTTCAATTAAATGCACTAAAAGTTTAAAGAATAAACTCCTGTAACAAGATAGTCTTGGGGCCCTGTAATTTTTCCTTTGTGAAATTAAAAGACCTATGTTGATGGAAATCACACACATTCTTACCAGCTGTCAGTATGGTTTTAGCACTCTGCACTATACTGGAAGATCTCACAATTCCTGAAATGCCTGCAGAGAGAAAAGCACACAGATGTTATCCATCTTAGCAGTTTTGTGCCGATTTTTTTTTTTTACCCTCCAACATACACAAGTCAAATATTGTTCCAGTTATACAATCAAGCCAGCCTGAAAGTAAAACATACACTTATGCTGACAATGTTTTGTTTCTGCTCTGCTTTGTCATATTAATTGAAAATATTCTCTAAGCTATTTTATTTTATATATAACATACAGGAAAAAAACAAACCAAATCAATATTAAAACAGACAACAACCGGTAGGAATTGATCAAATAAATGTATTTAGAGGTCCCACTACATCTCTACTAAGATAATTAGTCACAAAGGATTCGGAGTTGTTTCATCTAAGTGCTGGTATCAACATTCTAGAGCAGAACAAATTATACTTCATGATTACTTCAATATAAAATTGGGATTTTGCACTTCTCTGATCAAGTAGAGATGTCACTGTTGTGCAGAGCTTGTCTGGCTTTTCTAAATTATCAGCTTTGAAAGATAAGTCTCATTTATCACTTTGCACTGTGCCACATTCAGTTCTCATTGTCCTGTGGTTCTTAGGTATTAATGGAAAAGTATATAAAACTTAAAATTTTTTTTTTCAGAAGTATTGGTATGTTTGTTCTAACACATAAAAGCATACTGATATGTAAAAAAGTACTGCACGTTACTAAATACTTTAAAAAAAATGCAGGAATGCAGTAGTCTCAGTTAGGCTTCCAAACTGAAAGATATTATCCTGCATTAAACACCTAGAATATAATTTCAAATATTTTTAAACCCTTCTTTCAAAGCTACTTCCATAATGAAGAACAAAGTTTAGTGTAATCCATTAATAAGTAAGAGGGATACAATGTTCCACTGAAAATAATTTGAGGGGTAGGGAGGGGAAAGGAAGAAATCATATTGATCTAGTAAAATATCTAGGGATAATATAATTCAGATTGAGTAATCAGCTTTGTCTTGTAGGATTCCCAAATGGCTTGTCCTGGCCTTCACTCAGAGTGATGAATTAGGAAAATCTTTTGGCCACAAAAGTGAAAGAGGGGTTTTGATTTGTTCTCCTAAGAGTTTAAACTGTTTGGCCTGAGAAGACCAGATCTATTCAGTGTTTTGATACTGAACTGCTGCACCACTGTGCACAGCCACAGCCACGCCTGCAAGACCCTACAGAAACACAACCACAAGGATGATGAGCTCAGGGGGGATAACTTGGAGCTCTAAAATCATGTGCAGCTCACAACACTGCTCCTGGATTAAGCTTTTATCCTGTTACTGTTGCAGCCCAGCACAGAAGGTGTCATAGACTGTCATGAAAAAGCTGGACACCTCAATGTCCAGATGCAATGCATCCTATACTGCCAGTGGAGAACTGCAAGTCTCAGGAGCTTTATTTCCCCAAACAGAAAACAGTCTAAAAGCTCCCTCAGCAGTTGGAGAGTGTCTAGTGGCTCCCAGGCACGTAGGGAACTTTTGCTGTGCTGAAAGGGGCTTGCAAAATTTGCTAACTGGAACTAAAAATTTGTCAAGTTCTTCAAGTACTAAACATTTCCCTTTTTCTGCAGCATATAAAAACATTGATGTCTGCAGCATTAGCTTTAACTTGCTCATATGACATAATCTTGCCTCAGAGCAGCTGTGATGATGAGACACACCTCAATCTTTTTCCTTAAAGCTTGAGTTCTCTGCCAGAGCTTACATGTCTGGACTAACCAACATGATTGGGAAGAGTAATGTCAGCAAGACAGAAAATTAGCTTATCCTTGCAATGCGTGACTGGTAGGATACATAGCTCAGTATTTCGATGAAGTTTTGCCTAAAGGTGTAAGCACTACAGAGTTAAGACAGTCTAAGCAGGCCACACTAATCCCTAAAGACTGTCTCTTCCAGGACCCAAACCAAAACATATCTTCCTATATCACTAGGAATGCTATTTGCTAGTTTTTCAGATAACCTGTTTGCAATCAAAGAAGTCCAAACCGATGTTTTTAAGGAGGTATCTCGTGATTAATCTCTTGGGTTTTTCACCCTTCTCTTTAAACCATCCTTCTGAAATAGAAAAACAGATACAGATACAGATTTGTATCTCTATCACGTCTTAAAAGAGATTACAGACACTGGTTAGGCCTACCTTGATGCACCACAAATCCACAGTCAGGGTCATGGGCAACTTGCAGTAAAATTTCTTCCACATCTCTGTTTTTTCCAGGAGGGTTTACCAGAGAAGTTATCTTTTGCTGCAGAGTCTTTGGCAAAGCCATTAGTTGTGCAAATTGACCTTCTGGACTTTTATCAATCTGAATGTTATAGAAAATAAGACAGAAAAAAACATTCAGTTCTCTTTATCTTAAAGAAGTCCGAAAATTCTTCTGGCTATCTTTGACCTCTGAGAAATATCTCTCAGAACCCAATCTATGTCACTAGCACAAGTAATGGACATTTGTAACGAAAATTTCCCAAGCACAGGGAAATGCAGTTATCTCAGTTCTGAACCTGAAGAATAACTCAATGCAAAGATGTTAATTTTAATTAAAGACATACATGATCTTCCTGTCTCTGTAAGTAACTTTTCATTGAAACTGTATAGTTTCTGTTATATCCAATTTCCTTTGGAAACATAAGTACACTACAATTAAAAAAAAATTCCCAAAAGACCACTTAGCTCAGTTTCTTCTGCCTGAATATAATCAAACTGTAGACACACACATTTCAAGTTTAGTTTGAAAACCATTTTCTCTGCTTTAAACTCAAACCACATCTGGTTTGTAAAATTTGAAGAAAACATTCATTCCACATTTTCCAATCTAAATCAGAAATTCAAGGACCCTTTTTTGAATACAACAATGCCAACGTACAAGCTTGTACATATTTATACAGAGTGTAAGCACAAACACTGAAAAATGCATGATGGAGCAGATCTCTCCAAAACTGGAGGAAAATATGAAGAGCTCAGTTCCTCCCACACAACATCTCAGACTCTTCATGGAGACATCAGACAGGAGTCTAGTTCCCCTATCCACTCCCTTTTGTCAGTGTGGAGAAAATGATCTCCAGATGAATCACTCCAGAGTCAGCCGACGATGAGCAGGCTCTGAACATTATGTGGGAGGAATCCACGTCTGAACCAAAACTGTGAGAACTAGCGTCTGTCTTCAGTTGGTTTTGAGGAATCTTTTAAGAAAGAATTTTCTCTGTAACTCTGAAGACATATACTTGGAGAAGGGGGTTCTATTCTGCATTAAACTGCACTCCTGAGAGCAGACATTCACCTCAGTCCGGGTAATGACTGCCAATAATCACACCAAGGTGTGAACAATAGAATATTAAAGCACCTTACTTCAAATCAACAGTGAAATAATGGCATTTAATCAACAACCTTGATGACAATTGTGGAATTATGGACAGATTTATTATCCAACAGCATATTTGCAGTACGCTATCTGGATTTTTTTTAAAGGTAAAACAACGGGAAGTATTATTGTAACTAGCCTTTTTCTTGAAGAAAGTATTACTGATCCTTTTCAAAATTAATTTAAATATTTCTTCCACTAAACTGTTGAAGAGCACACTGATAAGAAAACATGGAGACAGCTGCAGTGTAAGACAGATCTGCCTATGCTGTCCTCCAAAGCGCTGCAGAACAATTTTTTACTGTACTCAGGTCTGCTTAAAACTGTACTTATATCAGTTTCTAACAAAGACACATCCTAAAAGGAGGCATTTGGGAGATAATTACCACGGTGACTCGAGGATAAGAGTCCATGAGACAACCCGTGCTATTTGTAACTTCATTTGTAACTTGAATATTCACACATGGACATGCAAACTACAAGAGGAAAACTGCTACTGGACCCCTGACTGTATGGCATCTCTCCCCTAATTCCAATGTTATACCAGAAAGATCGAATTCAAGATACTGGTCATTTTGGATTTCCCAAATACTAAGGATAGAAATGGTTTAGGATGGGTATTTAAAGATAATGTCAGAATTTCACTTAGGTTTAGTCAGCTGATCTTCACAACTAGCACTTGATGAGTTTTTTTGTGAGATGCAGTTTTTGATTGTGGAAAGTTGCACCTCTGAGTTACAACCTAATCTTTTTAACATAAACCATATGTTCATTCATCACTGCCTAGACAGTTGTGTCCATGTGGTAGTCATTAGAACATGTGTTTTACAGCCATCTTCTCTTGTTCCTTTGCTAGGGCTCTAGTTCTGTGCCCATACTCAAAGAAAATGAGCAGTAGTTACTACATATGCAGAGACTGGTATTTAAGGCAAATCTTCTGGTTGCAGAATTAACTAAACAACAGAAACATAACAAATAGCAAGTACAGTGACTACAACTGCCCTCCTTAGTGCACGGCATAATTCCTGCCTTCTGTCAATGTGATAAAGCACTTCCACCTGTTTGTTTTAAAAATGTTTTGAAGAACACTTGCCTCTAGTCTTCCCAGATGGTGCTTATATACCACTTGAGGGCAGTCCTGTAATATGGTACTGTACAGCTTCTGAAAATGGGGTATGTTGGGTTTCACTATGTTCTGCACTTTCAATCTGTCTTCTCCTATTATCATTCTGAAATCACCTGGTCAAGAAAAGAGACACAGTTAATTCATTAGGAAAAACCCAAAAACTCAGAGAAGGAGAATATAACAGAAATCAATATAGTAAAAAGCTGTCATCTAAAGCTTTTTTCTTCAGTTCTACCAATGCCTGCATAATTCACAACAAGGTTCACCTTCTATTAGTCAAAAAGCTATTCAAATATCTTCAAGCACAGAAGATATGTGCTTAGAGTCAAATATTGTTTTGTGGCCTCTGATATGTTGTAATATCATCAGCCCATATGTCCACATTTTCACTTGTGGACGACAAAGTAAGTCCAGCTGTCAAGCGGCAGTAGCAGTTACATTCTTTGCAATGATACATACATTTCAAAAGACTACTAAACAAACTGACCAGTTCTAATACTTTGTATCTACAAACAAATAAGCTTAATTTTCCAATATTGAGAGAAAATAATTTGCATTGTCTCTGCACTTCAAGGGCAGTACCTGAAGTTCACCTAATGGCAGTCATGGTAAGATTATCTTTTCCTCTTAGCCATGTATTTTGTTATTAGTCTCAAAAATCAACTGCTTTTAACACCACTGTTACATCACTGACCTTTACACTTTCTCTTCTGATACATGACTGAAAAGTTTCAGAGAGAATAAGAGAAAAGACAGCTAGTATGTAATAACTACCTCAGTTAGGTACTAGCCTGGTAACTTCCGGTGTTTCTAACCAGGAGTTAGAGGCTCAGTGCAGCGTGTATCAACAAACAAAATCCTGAATCAATTAATTTTCCCCACTTCCCACATTCAGGAGACAAATGTTATTGAAAGATGGCAACTTGCTAGCCTTACTTAGTTTTTTCAATTTGTGCCAAGCCACAAAACAAACACTTTGCATACAAATGGTACTGACTCACTGCTCTCAAAAAATGCATAAAAAGATAAAGGCTAAACATTTTCTAAATTCAAGCATGAACAACTCTTTTCAGCAGTCTGCAAGGAGATTAATTAGAGTAACACATAAAATCAATTTTGTCTACTGGTATACCCTCTGAAAGACTTAACAAAATGGAAGCAAAATAAAATATCCACGAACATATAATCAACAGCCTTTTCCTTGAACATTCCCAACTGGGAATCTTACTGTTTTAGCTTTGTTCACACAGTAGAGCCAATTTCAACATCTTATAGCATGGTAACTGATCTCCCATGTTTCTGTTTGATTGCAGTGTTTCAAAAACTATATAAAAAAGTATCTCGGTCACTAGTGCCCACCAAGAATGTAATGCCATTGCTGGGCAGGTTTCAGGTGGACAGGTCTGCAGCCCTGCAGCAAACAGCCTTGGCTGGCAATCCCATTGTCAGCACCCTCTTATTGTCACTTTAAAACAGGCAACAATTCAGAAAAAAACTACTACGGAAAAGCTGAAAAAGCTGCAATCTAAACTGCTCAGGGAAGTATTACATAAAGAACAGTAACACTCCTCAGTACAGCCAAGCTGCAGCTTATAACCCCCACCTGCCCACCTGTGATTTTTTAAAGCCAAACTTGCATTTCTACACAAGCAAAGGAAGTGCTGCATAAAGGAATCAAACTTGTTCATAGTGATTTCAATAAGGATATTGAAATTTAAATTTAAAAAGTAATGCTGAATTAAATTGTAACAACTAAATCTTACATTGAAGAGCCATTTGCAGTAGTTTCCTCAATTGTTTTCCATACTCATTTCCTAACTAAAGAAAGGAGGAGGAAATTCTCTTAGCAAATAAAAAAAAAGTCAACAAATACTAACCAGGAGGTGAATGTTAAATATACATTGAGGAATCATAATCTGGATCCTTAAATTAACTAAATAAGAACCTTAAACACATCACGCTCAAAAAGTAAGAGATGACACGGTATGAGTCAGACTATAAGATGACTCAACATTACACTGAGAGCGGAAAGAAATTTTTTTCCAAGGTTTTGAAACACTAAACCAAAATACAATCCATACAAACAGAAAAAACCCCACATTATTTCATCATATTCAGTCGCTCATAGTTAGCTGTTCATAAATCAAGCAGGTATAAGAAGCTTTGCTTAGGTACCTACACCTATTTCCTAAGAATAAACCCAATTAGTCATTTGGAGCTGTTATGTAACACAGCATTCAGATACAATTTTTGGAGCATGCAGCAGTGTGGGCCCAAAGCAAGAGGGCAAATGACTTACTACACATGAGACTTCCAACTGTGGTACAACAGCTCCAACTACAGCTTTTCTCCTCGGTGACTTTAGACACCACATACTAACCAGAGTAGGAGAGTCCTGCAATCTGCATATAGAGGTCTTCTTCAGAGAAACTTTCTGGTAACATGAGAAAGGCTGCTGTGACTGCACTCTTCAGGTTGCTAACAAGAGCAGCTTGCAGCTTGCTATTCTCATTCTGTGTCAGTATTTTCACCTGAAAAAGCAGAGCCATTGGAAGCAAGACTTCAGGAAAGTGCTACTGAAGATGGAACTAGAAATCCAGCATGAAAACTAAATAAGAAATTTATTCAAAATTAGATCTTATTAGTATGGTATAATAAGGACTACTGTCCCCTTTTGTTTACACCGTGTGAGAAAGAGGACCATCTTTTTAAGAATTAACAGTCTGCTAGAAAAGGCTGGTTTTACAAACAGGTTTGGAACTGCCATATGTTACAGCCATTAGCCAATCTCTGAAGAGCTATTCACCTTTCCATATTCATAAATTTAAGACTGATCAAAACAATAAATATGAATGCATCAACAGAAATACTTCATATGTGATTATGCAATAAGAAAAAAGACCACTGTCTCACTGAAAGAGAATGGAACACCAAAGAGCTAAGTTTTAATATTCATCTTCATTCTTTCTTTTTAATAGAGGACTCCCCTACCAAATGCTTCTCAGACATTAGTTGTCCTCCTAGAAGAAGCAAGGTTTTATTTTTGCACTTTGCATGAGAAGAATGTGAACTCAAGGGAATCTTCATCGATACGTGAAGAACAGATCACTTTAACGCTTCCACGCGCTGCATGAAGTATTTGTTTTTAGGAAACACTTTAACTGTTCAAGACCAACTAGAGAAACCAGTCACCTGGGATATGGAAATATACTGGAATAAAAAGCAGATCTTTGGTAAGAACGGAATATAGAAACACACCATTATAGAACATCAGACAGATGAAGTCATCCTGGTTTACAAGATGGCTCTATAACTATGCTCTTCCAGAAGCAACTCTCCAGGAATCCCTGCTTGTTGTCAGTTGCTGTCTTTTTCAAGTGTCTTGCTTATAAAAGGCAGATTTTTTAATATCTGTTTACCCTACAATACCTTAAAATGCAAAGGCTCTGGCAGTTATGAACAAAGGTACCCATTTGTTCTTTCTCCCCAAAAGCCCATTCACACACAAATGAGTTGCAGTATTACCTGAAATTCTGCCCCCACATATAACCTGAAACAGCTAAGGGACCCTTTCAAGTAACTATTTTTCTTCAGGAATACAAATACCCTGTTAATCAACGGGGGAAAAAACCCAAAACCAAACCTAGGTTCAATAAAGTATGACAATCAGACATATCTGCTACACACAATTCTTACTATAGAAAGGACACAGCCAATGCAATGTCATGGCTGACATTGCTGATATTCAGAACATACTTTTTAGTTATGACAAAATCTTTAAGAGGCATAAAACTTTAATAATATCTGATTTTGATACGATGGTGAATGCAACAGTACAGAGGTTACTTGTTTCAATCATTCTGCACTATTTATTTATTTCCTTGAAAGCCACAGGAGAAGGTTACTGAATGCATAACAGACTTGCTTAAGTAGTTTCAATAACTAAGACATGCTGGTCATGGGGATGAACTAATAAATGTATGTTCATAGCTTGCTGCTACAGGGAATCTCTAAGGAAAGACAGAAGAGAGAAGTCTGTGGCACCACAAACACTCATATAGGTGCTTATACCTTAGGACAGCCCTGTAAATAGCACCATGTTATGGACTTGTTTTAAGAACACCACAGTTACAGCCTTTTAAAATGTAAAACTCCAAAGAGATCTTATTCCTCCTTACAGAAGACCACAGGAATTTTTTCCGAGGAAAACAATATGCTAGGCTTCAAAATCTGCATGCCTGGAAACACTGCAGTGGTGATAAAATTAATTTATGAACAAATTTTAAACAGTTCAGAGAGTTAAAAATCTCCCAGGAAGTCAGAATGCAATAGTTAACACCCTAGTACAAAAAGGCTGGATGTTGATTCTTGGAGTAAATCTGAAAGAGCACCAAAGTTAAGGAAGGCTTTTTCACAGTACAGAGAACTTTTAATTGGATCTATTCACTGTACCATATCACAAATCAAAGTAGCAGCAAGTGCAGTTACACTGAAAATAGCTATTCACTATTCATTGTTAATGTGACATTCAGGATTTTTCCTTCAGTTATTTTTCTCAATGTATTAAGTTTCACTCTTTACAGAGATAACAGCTGCTCTGATCTGCATCATGCTACAATACGTCTCTGGAGATAGAGAAAAGCCAATAGTGCTGAGACAATCTATTCAAACTTTCACTCCAAATTTTTAGTTAAAAGCATAATTAACTTCTGTTCTAAGACCTGAAGAGTTCTCCTCTCCTTCTCACCCTCCTGTCTTAACAAATTTTTCCTCAGCCCTGCTGCCATCTGCTGAAACCACTCGGGGAAAGCAAACACCTCCTATTTTTTACGACACAAACACGGAGGAGAAAAACACACGTGTTTAACCCATAGTTCATTCAGTTATAAATACTTTAACAATACAATGCACTAGACAGTAACTGCACAGCAAAGCAGCTTTCACCTTTAAAGATTTCCATTATTTACCCACATTAAATTTTGGTGACCCCTATGTCTGTTATGAAAGGCACAGAATACATTTAACATTAAAGGGACTTTGCATTAATATAGTCCAGTTACCCAAGATTTACTACAGGCAGAAAGCTTTTATTAACATACTTACCTTTGCGGGTTTTCCACATCACACAGAACGTAATCAAGGACTACATTTCACTTCCTTTCTGAGAGATTATCCCTCCAGGGCTACACCTCTGAATCAGGGCACATTATTTGTTCAGTACCAACATATCCTTAACAGATAAAGTTAAAACTAAAACTGATCATTTTCCAGCCCTGTAATTTCCTGCATTTCAAGACAAAAAACTGAATAGGCAAACAGTTACCGGCTTTTGTAGGCGCCCAGCGACATAGAGGGTTTTCCAGTGAAGTAAATCATCAATCAGGGTATCAGTGCTAATTACACCATATTTTATCATCTGGGAATAAAGCAAAATAAAAGCTTTTGAAAAAACATACCTATACCTTTTTCACTACATGAAACTTACTACTTCCTGACATAACTGTCATTCATTCTAAAGAACACACACCTCCAATAAAAAACTGTAATCATGTTTTAATTAACACAGGAGGTAAAAGAAAAATTTCCTACTTACATGCAAACTTCTAGGAAAAATGGAATGCCTGGAACTCTAAGATCTTTTCTAGAATCAAAGCTGCAATAAAGTCTCCAGTCAAATGTTACAATATTTTGATTAATCCACAGTATCCTTTATGATATTGAAAATACTCAAGAAATAGTTTGTCAGAGATCTACAACTTGCTGGACACTTGCTGGACCACTTACCTAGAATTACACCCAAGCCTCACAGGTCAGGATTGCCAACACCAAAGAACACAGGTGTCAGTTCCAACTTGCTATGTTGCAATTTGCATTTTATGCCAAATAAACAGTAAGAATCCACTTTGCTATTACTACGTGGTCCACTGCTGAAGTTAAGGGCCTGTTTTCCCAGAATACACTGTACCACCACCAAAGCTGGCAGACAGCGAGTAATAAGGAATATAAATACAGTTTCTGAAGCACTTTAGCTCTAAGTTCCAAACATTGCTCACACTTTTAAGGTGCAAGAGCAGCTGGTCTGTTTGCTTTTTAATTAAAATGCTGTTTGTGAAGCAGTTTTGAGACAGAAATATTGAAGATACCACGAGTTAATCGACAGCTACAATCTACAAGATTGGCTTCCTGAAATTTGCTTTAAGCTAATCATTTCACTACTTCACACAGACAAATATTTTACTTAATTTGTACTTGTACAAAGACTAATCATACTTACCCTACCATTACATGGCACTAAAGTGTTGTAGTAAATTCCTGCTCCGTAGCTCTGCATACTAGTTATCTGTTTTGGCCCAAAAAATTTTAGGAAGGAATAATGATTCCTGTTCTTTAACAAGTTCATCATATGCCAGGTCACAGAATCATCAACAGCAAATACGAAATCCAGCATATTGTTCTGTGGTTGAGGAGCAGAGTGTTGGGGGTTATACGTCAAGAAGCAGCCAATGTTAATCATAATAACCTAAGATATACACAATCATAATAATCTAAGATATATGTTGTATCAAACTTCCAGCTAATAATTTTTCACAAGAAAAATATAAGAATAAAGCCTAATACACAAGTATTAAAGTCAGATACAGTTTAAAGATTCAGATAAAGTTGTGTTTTCTTGTCCGTTTAGCAAAGACTACTGAAAATTTTCCTGTACTGGTCGTGACCAAATTTCAACCCTCCAAAACAGAAGAGCAAGTGTAAGATCTCCACCACCTTAATTCACAGTTCAGTGGAACAGCTGACACTGCTAATGAACAGGACTTTTGGCAACTTTCAAGGCCGTGAATTGGGGGATGTGGGCAGATAAAGGCACCCGAGAGCTGGCAAAAAGTGCATTTCTAGCATATTCCTTTGCTTTTGACAACAAAACAATCCAAACTCCAAAGATTTCTGGTGTGCAGTGTATGTACTGCTCTTCTGGAGAAACCAGTGCACACACCGCCTGCACACAGACAGCACAAAAGCTCGGAACTCATACCTGCAACACACCACTATCTGGAGTGATGTTGCTTCAAATTCACTAGGATTGCCTCTCTGTGGCTTATTAATTGTGGGCAGCATCTCAGCTAACCCATTAATACCACTAAAAAGATAATCTGTTAGCTACCTTTCTTCCTATTCTTTTGTGTGACGATGAGATGCTGTTAGAGCTCTGAAATTCTTGTTATCCCCGTTTAAAGAAAACGAGGCACATTTAAAGTCACATTTGTGGAGACTGCTTAGTAAGTGAAGCCAATAAAGAGCAATACTGCTGATTAACAATTTTTAAAAGCTCGAACATAAGAAATAAATAAAAAGAAACACTGTTTCCAAGCAGTTGACCCCCAAGTGATGTGGAAGCCCCGCGACTGCCACTTCAGGGTGGCAATATATTTTCAATTGCCCTCATACGGTGCACAGCAGCACCGTAATTCTCTTTAAAAACAGCAGTAAATAACCTGACACACAGGAACGAAGGGGACCCCGAGCCCCTCACAATGACAAACCCACTGCCGGGACCACCCTGGGCCCTCCCCGGCAGCCCGGGGCACGGACCGGACAATATCCCGTAAGGGACTGAGATCTTCGCCCCTTCCCGTACACGAGCCGCAGCCGCAGGGCCAGAGGCGGCTCCAGGTAATGCGGTGCCCGGAACGCTCAGCACAGGGCCGCGGGGCCCGAGCGCTCACCTCGCCGTGCTCGGCCGCGGCCCCCGCCTGCCGGAACACCCCCGAGCCGTAGGCGAAGGCCAGGCTGAGCTCCTGCGGGAAGTGTGCCAGGACCCGCCGGAACTTCACGGCCGAGCTCGACAGCACCGGCAGCGCCATAACCGGGCCCGCCGGACCCGCGGCGAGAGGAGAGGGCGCGGCCGGGCAGGGGCTACGCCCACAGCGCCCTCTGCAGCCCGGCGGGGGCATGGCGGGCTCGGCCCCGCTCACAGGCTGGCCCGCCCCGGGGGGCGCTGACGGGGACACGGGCAGGGCTCCCGACGGAGACACGGCCGGGGCTCCCGACAGAGACACGGGCAGGGCTCCCGACGGAGACACGGCCGGGCAGGGCTCCCGACGGAGACACGGCCGGGGCTCCCGACGGAGACACGGCCGGGGCTCCCGACGGAGACACGGCCGGGGCTCCCGACGGAGACACGGCCGGGGCTCCCGAAAGGGACACGGCCAGGGCTTCCTCTAGGGTCTCCTCAGGGGTCCCCTCAGGGCGCCTCTCAATGCTCCTTCAGGGCTCCCCTCAGCGAGCTGATGTTCAGCAGGTGGGTTTCGCATTTAGTCTTCCACCACCCTTTTTTCAGTTTAATTTTTTTAGGTCCTCGCAATTTTGAGCATCTTCTTTGATTATTTTTTCCTCCTCCTTCCCTTTTTTAATTATTATTTATCTTTTTATTCATGTTTTATACTGTTCCAAGGCTTTCCTCAGAAATTATCACCAGCGTTGCAGTTCTTCACACATTCCCCGTGGAACACAAACACAAAGACCACAGCGTTTAATCATCCTGGTTGTGCTCAGGGTTGTCTCATGCTCTCCTCGTGCTGAGCCTGGCTTAGTTTGAATGTTCAAGTCCTACATAATAAACCTGCCTCAACTCGATGAGAGTGCTAAATGCATAAAAGTGGCTCAGGAAACTGAAGTGTGTCTTGTTCTCTCATGATTTTGTGCTTCCCTGAATCCGGTTCCCAAAGATCACGTTTTATCTTCCTATGGTTTATGGCCTTCAAAATACCTTCTTTGCTACTACAAAGAAGTCTAATTTCATTAAATCAAAATAGAAGCTAAAGGTCTTTATAGATATTGGTATGGATGGTATTGACCTAGAATGCACTTATTCTAATGAGCAAGTAAAAAAGGGGAAGCTTGTTTGAAAATTAACAGACTGGTAACCCTTCAGTGAAGTTATACTGTTGACTAATATTAAAAATTAAGGTAACAAAGCAAATTCTTGAGAGGGTATGATATCTGGAACCTTTTTGCTTGAGTATTTGTGTATTAGAAAAAAATCTGGGGAAAAGGTTGCTTGAGTATTGCACAATTGTCCATCTCAACCTTGCCAGCTCAAATCCTCTCCTTGGGGCTTCCAAGGTGGATTTTCTTCATATAATTTAAAAGCCTTATATTCCAACTTTCCTACAACTCTGTTCTTTGCTATTCTTCCTTAACTGTCTTTTACGTATTTTAGACTAAACTTAAAGTTTGTTTCTTGCATCTACTACTAAGATTTAAATTGGTTTTGTTTCCAATAGCACAGTTAGTTTTTGAGACTAATAGCTTGTGATCTGGGACAAAATTCAGAACTGATCTGAAAGTTTATGTGGAGGTATCTTATGTGTTGTACTGCTTTTGACCTTGGCCTCTAATCTGTTTCAGTGGAACTTTTGCTTGGCTGACTTTGGTAACAAAGTCTGCAAACACCAGAAGGTCTTCAGTTGGATTTGCAGTTTTAGCTAGCACTGCTGTTGAGGGGAGCAGTTTTCTTCTATCCACTCGTATCAGTGTAGGTGTTTGTGTGGCTGCACATCAGAACAGATTGGGGAATTGATGTGGGTTAAAACCAACTGTTTTGGGTTGTCGAGATTTTTAAACCAGTCTAGTTTTAAGCAGGTCACCAGTGTTCTTTACCACACATGTTTGTGCTGGTACAAGCAGGGGAGATGATACGATTTCTCCTGTTGACAGTGCTGGTTCAAAAGATACAAGTACTTGTTTTGAGGGTTTTTTTAACAAAATTTTCACACTTAGAATCTTGGCTGGGATGGAGTCCATGCATTAAAGTTGTGTTAGGAAGGGTACAATATTCTGTATGTTGCACAGTCATCTTTTATTCATTCTTTTTCAGCCAGGTAAATTCTAATACTTACTGCAGTATGTTTCTCATGAGAGAGCATAATTTTTTGGCAATAAAATATGAACTTTGAATAGCCTCCACATAACTAGAAAGCTTGTCTGCAAGTGTGGTTTTTGTTTCTACCTTGCCTCTGTGTTCTCCAGTTCCTTTGAATGAAGGAGGCTCACTGACTCTGCTCAGTGTCTGAATTCCAAGACATGTATCATATCTTCCAGCATTGGATCTTCACAGAGGTATCTTAATAACACCATCTTCAATAAAAAATAACCATTTTCACTAAGTTAATATGGAAATCTGAATACTTACAGTCTGTCAGTCCCAGTGGTTCCTCTCCACGGTACCAGAAATGCTGTGGTTCAGGGGGTGCTGAGTACCTCACTGGGGTGCTGCTGCTGCCCCAGGATGGGCTCATTCAGATCTCTGCTTTTGCCTCTGTGGATCTTTCTCCAGCAAAACTGACAACTTTGTGTCCTTTAGTTTCTGAGTAGTGGGGATTCTGTCCTACTTTTCCATAGCATGTGCCTGTTGGAGGTGGCAGCCTCCTCTGAACATGCAGTTGCTACTTCTTGCCTGTAACCTTTATAAATAAAGAGCAATTTTCATAAAGAAGTGGCAGCATCTGGAATCAGCAGCTCATATTGTTTGTTTTAAATTTCTGTATTTTTCTGTGATTAGACTATTTTAGGTTCTCCATCGCTTCATATTTTATTTATTTAAAGCATGAATTACGTTAACTGTTGCTGGTGCAGCTGCACACACATCTGAGCTGGCTTGCTGTTTGTTTATGCTAACAACTAAACACCACCAGGTGTCCTCTGTTTCTTTATCAGATTTGAATTACCTCCTGGAGATCCTCCTCTGGATTGGAAAATACTGATTTAAAAAAAAAAACAGGAATGGGGGATAACACACAAACCTTTTTGCTTAGCTTTGACGAGGTCGAGGTGTGAAGCCACTTGGAAGTGTTAGGGGATGCGCACTGTTTGTTACATCTTGTTAGTATAGCTTTCCCCTCACTCCCCCAAGCTTATCTGTGTCCCTGTGACTCACCAGTATCCAAGGGATTATTTTCCAACAAGGACAGAGTAGCAGATGGATATTTCTAGTTGTCTCTTCCAGACTTGTTGCTGAAACCAGTTCAGCCATCACCACACTAAGGCTTACCCTTCTCTTGCTGAGAGATTATTAGCAGGCAGCTGTTACAATCAATCAACAAATGGATTTTTACTAGGCAACAATAGTAGTCAAGATAATATGGAAATAAAAATGAGCATAAAAGTTGGTTAAGTACCAAAATTTGTGGGTTTTCTTCTTGCCTTGGTTCTGTCTGCTTGCTTTTTCTAGTCGGGAAGGGGTTTCTGTGACAGACTGGCAACGTGCGAGAGAACATATTTTTACAAAGCAACAGATCACTCTGTGGGAAGCAGTGAAACACTGTGAGATGGAAATCGTGCTGTGCCCTTGCAGGTGGTGCACTGCAGGCTGCTCCACCCCGGGCCAGGGAGTTAATTTGTCCCCAGCACTTTGTGAGCTGAGGGGAACTGAGCTCACAGTTAAACCGAGTAACCCGTACTGCCAGCTGAACTGCCATGGCAGCTGGGAGCCCCTGTTTTGGAGGAGTGATCAACAGCACTGTCATTCTTCTTCCTTTAAACTCATATCCTGCCTAAAAGCTTTTAGGGAAGTTGCACGTTATTTTATGTACTTGGATAAGAGATAAGACAAAGCCACATTTTACGGGGTTTTTTCCCCTCTGTGGAGACATCAAAGAGCAACAAATTAGAGTGTTCCCTTGTGCCATTATTAGATGGAACAAACAGAATCTCTAGGTTATCCCCAGTTCAATACTTTCTATTTCAACTGTGTGCTCCTGAATTATTAACAGCCCTGGCTCTGGAATGGTAACAGAACTGCAGCTCTATTCCCAGCAGCATTAACCTAGAACTACCCCAGATGGTGGCTTGCCAATGACTCTTTTAGGCAAGTGATAAAACACCACCTGAAGGTGACTTCAGAAACAAGTGACTCCAGTAGTGGTAATGCTTTCAGGGCACTGACTGTGATAGGGTGTTTCCTTACCACGCTTATTTTTAATTCCATTTTGTGAGTATTTCTTACTGTAAAACTATAATGTTAGTTTATAATACGTGTAGATAGTAATAAGTCATGTCAAATGTGTTAGGCTAAGGGTGTGACGATTCGAGTTGCTGAATGCTCACCATGTGTTCTGCAGTGGTTCTTTGGTGTTTCCATGGATTTTAGTTGACCAGCTGTTAAGTGTAGCTTAGACACTTTTGATTACATGGTCGTTTGTTCGTACCATTTGTGTGTAGGATGAACTTTATTGAACAACAGTTTGAATTTCGGTGTATTTAACTGTCTATATCATGACTAATATACTAATATTTTTAAATTTATTCATAAGAAAGGCAGTTATAGCTTCAATACAGGACATTATTTATTAGCCTAATAATTGTTGCCACCGGACTGCATATTCTCATCATCATCAGTTACTAAGGCAGCATTGTAAGTCTGTGCACACACAAGAGAAAATGAAAAGGATCATTAAGTGGAATAAACAGCAAGTGACACTGAAAAATACATTACAGTGATATTTTAAGCTAATGCTCGTGTGGGCTGTGTGAAAGCACAAAGAGTTTATCTCCTACAATCCTTTTTGCAGTTCTGCTGCTAAACAAGTAGTTTGTACTGCTGTTTTCCCTTACCTGGCCAGGCTGTGTAAGGCCCTTCATGTCCTGAAGCAAAACAGGGAGGAGAGCAAGGTGAGAGGACTGCAAAATGGAATAAAGATGAGTGAAGGTGTTGACCTAGAAAATGACTGACACACCATTAATGACCATTTCTTCAGAATGCCATTGTAAGATAACTTCTCTTATTTTCATGAAGGGATTGATCTTAATCAGAAGGAATTTTTTGTCCTTTCTAGGTTCTACTCCAACTGAAGGCTCTGTGTCCATATAAAGAGCCCCATTTCATAGAGGAAAGGGCAAACTGTCATTCTAGTTCCTCATTTATGAAAATATTCACTTGTAGTATATTGTTGTCAGTGGAATCCTAGCTGCCCTTCCATTATGTAAGCTGATTTATTTGAAATTGTTATAGTGGGAGATATAATCAATGAAATTAATATTCTGTGACAATTGGTGCTTTTAATATTGAATACAGTTTATAATGTCATGGCAATAATGCATCATGTTAATGAAAACTGAGAATGTGTATTTTTTTGATGTTTTGTATAATAGTTTAGAACTTATTGTGCTTATCTGCATTTCATGTGGAAATGAAAAATATTCAAAAGGGCATTATAGTTAATTTGATGTATAAAAAGCAAGATATAGAATGAACTTAATTAACCACTCATAAATGTTTTGCATATTTCATGTATGTTGAAAATAGTTAAATTCCCTTGAGCTGCCACAACATCTTTATAAACAAACTGGTGAGGGAGAGGCTGGATCAGAGCTGGAACACTGAACTGCCAGGCTCCAAGGGCAGCAGTTGTTGTGTCTGAGCTGAACTGGCAGCTGGTCCCAAGTACAGTTCTTCTGGGACCACAACCAAGTCCGATCTCACTCAATAGTTTCATAAACAATCTGGACTTTGACTGCTGTGTGAACCCTTCTCTCCTTGGCCCTTGAGAAATGCACAGTCTGTTCTATCCAGGTGTATTATCTGTGTCTGGGCTTGCTTATTCAATCAATCCAGGTTAATTATCTGCAATTAGGGGATACTTCAGTGCTGAAC